CCAGAGTCCAGTTATCTTCTGCCGTTGCTCTGACTATGGCTCAGGATCGGGAAGGTTGGAAGCAGTCTCTGACGCATCTGTCTCCGCGACCAGAAAGAAGAAGCGATCATGGAAGGTGTGTTTTGCAGAGGATGCCTAGTGAATATGTAAAGATAATCGAGGATCCGACGGACAATGTAAATGTGGTTAGAGCCGAGTTCTCGCATGCGTGCTAACAAGTACCGGAAGCGTCAATTCCAATAACGAAGTCATGGGCAGTCTTTGAAGCTCGAGGCTGGCTCCTGTATATTTGCGTCATGCGCATCAAAAGGCTTGTGTAAATGAAAGATGCAACAGAAAACGCAAAACCAAGATTATATAATTGTCAGGGAACATATATCAGCTGCATTTCTTTGTTTACAGAAAACTGCGTAGAGCAGACTGGAAATCTTTTTTCTTTGTTACGTATAATGGCAATAATGATTTTCAGCCACGTCTACTGTCTGATTTTCGATTTATCAAGCGTTGTTCGTCATTGTTAAGTTTACAGAACGTTTAACTGATGCAGCTATTTAAGGGTCAACATTGAGGGACAGCTAACATTGAGGCCAACTCATTGGCTTTAAAATGCCTTCAGGGATTCGTAATAACCACATGCTAAACTGGATTTCGTATAACTGGATGATCTGCATTCTCCGGACTGAATTATTTACTTTCACCTGTGAGGAACGATGACTAATTACTCTCAGTTTTCAAAATATGAAACGCCAGTATTGAAAATCTGTGAGCATGTCCACCACATATGGCAATTACACAAGATTTGTTCATCCGTTTTATTTTAACAACCTCTGATAATGCATAGCACGTGAAACCTTGGTCGAGTAAGATTTGTTTTCGACTCTCTGGAGTTGAAAAGCTGGAACTAAAGACCGTAACCCATGGTTGGAATCACCTACTTAAGCTGAAAGAAGTAAAAACAAACTTTAATTCTGAAATATATCCACTTTCGGTAATTAACTTTTACAACTTATCAGCTCCATCTGATACCCTTTAGGACTAAAAAATGAGCTCCATTTTCTACGATTATTGGGAAACACCATTTCAGTGAGGAAAAAATTAAACCTGAATAAACACTAAATGAATGGTTTAATAATAACATAATAGCAATGTTGGCACA